ATGCATACCTATGATGCAAGTAATAGAAAATAATAAAAGAAAATGTTGACTGCTCATTGCGTGGTCATGAATTTACTTCTGTGTCTCCCAGGAGTGATTGGTATGTAAATTCTCCTTACATTTTTAATACACTATCAAGCAGACAGGTAATGAGAATGTGGAAAAGTATCATGTAGGGGATATCGTCTTTATAGCATAGAACATGAAATTCTCAGGACTAGCCAACAAGGTGGTATATGGTATTACAGACTTTAGTTAGGACAATTAACTCTTGGATCTGGGGATCGAAAGATATTAAACCTGCTGGGAAGGATCTGGGTGGGGAGGGTACTCCCATAAAAATTTGGTAGCGGTGTATGGCCTACCTCCCAAAACCCTTACCCTATAAAAGTCCAAAATCTGCAATTTTCTCTGCCCTATTTTGACCTCACCAAAAATGAGATACCCTATTTAAGTCCTTACCCTTAAATCGATACCATAAAGGTTACAAAAATATAACGCTATACTATAAAGCTTACCAAAATAGCAGAAAGTTTAATTCTTGTTTCTGATGAAAGGCAATCTGTAATGTCAGAACATAAACATCATTGGTCTTTAATACTAAATTGATGATTTCTAGTCCATAGTGCACACTCTCAAGGGTTTCATGGTACTGTAGACAATCAAGTGAGTTTCTTACCTCCTTCTGGGACACAGAAGTCAATCAACCAAGGTTGATCACCCTTGTTTATATGCTTTTCAAAGTTACCTGTAGTTGAGCAATAAATCCCATCATTACATGTATATGGTAAGCTCCATGAGAGGGCAAAAAGAACCAAATCCTGCCCTGTGATTGGCTACCCAAGCAGGCAAGATGGTGCTATCTTGCCTGCCCGGGACTACCCCAAAAGCCATATAATAAATCCTTTATTGACCAAGCTTACTTGGACAAGATGGCTGGATATTGGCCTCATTTTTTTTTGCATGTTTATGGGCCTCGATTCCATCTTGGTCCATAAACATGCAAAAAAGAACTTGGTCAATATCCAGCCATCTTGACCTCACGCTTGGTCAATAACCTTTACATATACAGAAGTATAGCAAATTTGTTGCTATTACTATTAAACCATCTTATTACCAAATTTATTGATCATTTAACATCCAAGTGCACATTTTAGAAAATTTAAACTTAAACCACAGACATCCATCTGAGGCATGCATCTGGCAATCAAATCGTAGCCAAATGATGAAAAGCATCCATCACTTGTGCTACCACTCACTGGACAGGCACAACTGATCATGAATATGTCTTTTCACAAGTCTTTAATTCTTAAGTTATGACAACTCAGGAGAAATCATTCCCTTATACCTTCGTTGACACATATTTCACCCTTGGCTACCAATAATTCAAAGAAGCACTTCTACCTTCCCATAAATCAAAGAGATTCACTTCTAAAGAGTCCAGTATGAACTTGACAAGGGATCTTGTACTTCTAGAGCCACGATGGAACTCATGCTGCACACAACAGAAAAATGTACAAAACAAGGTTAACAATCAAATAACAAACCATGGGCCCATTTCTCTAAGGCCCGAAAGGTTTTCACAAGAAAGTCATAGCAAAATCTCAAACCTCATGATTACATGCAGCAGCCTGTTTCAGCTGCATGATTATTCTTAACATGAAAACAGGGTCACTTCATACAAGAGGTATCAGGCATATACACTGTACCCCTCTCTGATTTTAGATACAGATGAACTAAAAATGGCTTTGTGGTCTCGAAAAGTTTCCTTTCAAGAAATGGGCCCCAGGTCTTGTGATTTGTGCTCAAGTTCTGATTCACACACATTTGTGTTCATCCTCTTGCAAAGGAGAAGACCATCTTCACACCTCATAGAAAGAGCTTGGAGATTACAAATGTAACAATTCAGCAAATGGCGTATATTGACATCAATAACTGAAAAGATTTTTCATTAACAATTTTTTTTTCTTGAGCACTGAGAAAAATAGATAATTATTGTTTGCAGCCACTCAGTTGTATTCTACAGGAAATCTGGTTCTCTTGTCCATTTGTATTCGCTGATAGACAATTTTACTTTTGCCCACATGCTGCTCTTGAAACTGAAACCTATTCAAATTCTAGGCTTAAATATACACAAAATTAATGTAAACCAACTACTTGCCCTCGTTTTCTATGAGCGATAGTCAACTCGGCTCACCTCATTGACTATTTGCACACAGAAAACTCTGGCTCGCAATCTAATTGTTAAACATACTGACACTAGACCATGCCACTTACTGTTGGATAAAGTACAAGAGACGGGTAACTGTGAATTCCTTGTTGTCGACACAAATTCCACTCTTCTTGACAGTTAACGGCACCAAATCTGATAACTCCCTCAAGTTCTCGTGCAACTTCTCGCCACTAAAAAGGAATTTCCAAGAAACCAATTTTTGGAATCTCTATAGCACTACAACTAAGTATTGTAAGTATGTACACCCAGGGATGTACAAGAAAACTTACGCAGTCAGTAGTCTTGAGGTATATCATAATTTACCTTCAAGCTTGCAACCCTTAATGTCTAATTTCTCTTTACATGGTCCCACTGTCTTAATGGTTAGTGTACTGGACTGTAGCCAATAGGCTTAAAAATCCCAACTAGCAGGAGGCGGACCAGTTGGCTATTTACTGGCATGACCAAGGAGTTGAACTAGGATCTACCGCGAAACAACTCCAGCTTAGTGGTCAGAGCGAGACTTGAAGCCATGACCTTCGGATTTCAAGTCTGGCACTCTAACCACTTGGCCATACTGCCTCCCACCCGAGCCATGCCTGGCTTGGGTGACCCCATTACAGGTGTTTTTAGGCAAGACACTTTACTCTCACAGCACTTTCAGAACTTCTCTTCACCCAGTTGGGGGAATGAAAATACTCCTTAGCTGGTTGACAACTTAATGCTAAGCTCTGGTTGCATGGAGCACTTAGCCCAATGCAGATTTCACATGGTCACATCAAAAAAAATAATAATAATTGACTTATCATTGAATGCTGATTCTTTGAGTGCTCTTCTAAAACCAAACATCAGGTCCCAAACTTAATTTATAAGTTCTCTGTCATGAACGGACTGTAATGAATCAGATATGAGTCTCTATTACCTCCAAAAATGTACAAAATATATCTTACCGTTGGTGCTAAATCATGACAATGGGAACAAAATGGAGAATAAAAGTTAATGAACCAGATGTCATCACTTCCTTCCACAGACACCTCTGAAAACAAAAACAAAAAACAGATTGAAACAAATCATTCAATTTGTAATAATTATATAATAATTATCAATATGTACATGCACACCCAGCTGGAGGAAAAATAATACAGGTTTGTTGTTATACTCACGGAAATCAGAGTAGCTTAATGTAATAATCTCTGGGTCATCATCATAAATTCCTACAATAAAATCACAACAACAACAAAACAGTCAGGATCACTAACTAAGATACTACGTACACTCTCATTGGTCCATAGGTGTACATAAACATGGTTGTTGCATTTAACATTTGCGCATATTTTTGAGAAATACTTTTAAAAACAATATAGTCAAATGCACTCCGAGTTTACGCAGCCTCTTCTAAACACTTGGGGGATTGGGAGAATTCTTGAAAGTTATACAAA